ATATAGTAGAAAACCAACTTACAGTAGACTTTGGGATTTTGTTAATAAATTTGATATATTATCTGAATATCAGTATGGTTTTCATAAGGGCAAGTAGACACAACAAGCCATTTACGTTTTACGTGAAAGTATCATTGATAAAATGGAGAAAAGTGAATTTGCCAATGCAGTGTTTTTAGGTTTATCTGAACCATTTGATTGTGTAAATCATAAGTTACTGTTAAAAAAAGATTGCTTATTTGTTGTTAAGCAAAAAGCTACACAATGGGCTATCCGTTTTGTGCCCGCCACGAGTTTGAATTTCTTGTTCTTCTTTCTTTTGCTTATTTTTTATTACATGATAACTCAAAAACAAAAACAATGGTTCGACCAATTTCACTGAGGTGCCATAATTTCAAACGGAGTATCCGATTTTATACGTATTATTAAGAACTAGTATTGATTAAAAAATAATAATTATAGTATAAACGATGGTATCATTACCCCTTGATGTTAGCTTTCTTACAGAAATTTGGTGTTCTTTCAAAAAGGGTGAAACAGGAATTGCCAGCCAATAACAGATAAACAATGAATATTACAGTCAGAACCTCATTGTATTTAGAATTTGGTTACAACTACAGTCTTCCTATGTCTATTGAAACACTACATTAAAAACAAGTAAAGAAAAAACTTTTCATGTAAGGAAGTAAATGTAGGGATTGCTAATATCAATCCTTCAAAAACAATGCAAACAAGAAAGTAGGGATGACATTTGCATCATTCCTACATAATAGCACAGCACACAGTGTAGTAGAATGGCAACAGACAAGCATAGGATAAATTAAAATCAATTGTGATTGAATAGTTAGATATATATTGCTATTTGTTAATTCTTGCTAATATCAATCCTTCAAAAAGAATGCAAACAAGAAAGTAGGGATGGCATTTGCATCATCCCTACACAATAATAGCACAGCCTATTATTCACTGCTTCATACTTGATATTAATGTTCATGAATCAATTTTTATTCGTACGCAGGAAGTATTTGCATGGGGTCACTCACTTCCTGAGCAAATATTTCTTTATCAATCTTTACAAAGACCTGAAATGAGTGTTAGCAAATGTTTTTTGATAAATATAAGAAAGGTTTTTAACCATTATAGTCCTGAAATCAATGTCCGTATTCTTTTTTTTATATTCATACGAAAGAAGGGCCTATAATCACTATTGTAAAACCTGAGCTCAAGCAAGAAAACAGTTTTATTTAGCGGTGGGAAAACTCTGCGATGTAACGAATTTGTTTTTGTATATTTACTTTAATAACAACATTTGTTTAGATTAAATTTATATTTAGAAACATACATAGCTTATAGTGTTAAATATGTGTTGTGAAACTCCCACCTATTCTCCAGAATTGTAGAAGATTCTCGAAAGTAAAAATCAACAATATATGTATGTACGTAAATACTTGTGTCAGCGTCAGTATTGTTACGTAAAACTGAAATTTCTAGAACGCCTCCACACGCCTATAAATGTAATCAACATGAAGCGCGAAAAAAAACGAGAGTATCCATTATTAGTTCGCTATAATCAGTGTGCTATAAACTTTGGAAACTATAAATGTGATTATTATACAGCTTATCAATCGGAAAACTTCAGATATTTGACCAAGAACCGTTACAAAGTACGAACATTACAAATCATTTAACTTCAGTGGATTCTCATCGACATTAGTATTTTTACGAAAACATTATATAAATTGAATCGTGGAAATCTCGACGTGTGTGGCCGATAAATAACGAAGG